ATCCACTCGGATGGGACGAACCAAACCACCCCGAGCTTTGTGACTCCTGGATGGTGGGGAGGTTGTATCCTTTGTGGGGGTTGTTGGTGTCCGCGACGACCGGGCTCCGTGTTGTATCGTTTCAGGCCTCCTACGAAGTGGATGGCTCCGGAAGATCCACTTAAGGTCCTAGATGTTCGACAAACAGGTGTGGCCCATTGGCACGTCCATGATCATTCGGGATTGTACAGTTACGAGGTATGCGGCGAAATGGGAATCATACACGGGGGTGAGCGTGAAACAACATGTGGTAGATCAAGGTCTTTCCCATCAAAACTGGTCATTTGATTCATATGATGGGCCTTTCATGGTCTTCCCATCACTTCAATGCAACTGCCATTCGAACCGAGAAAACATCTGGTCCATGACGGGGCGCCCTTTGGAGTCTGGGTATGCTTCTTGAAGATCTTGGAACAAGTCGACATTGGCTCGACTTTTCCGCGCACCTTTAATGGCAGCCAGTCTTTTGCGTGTCGGCGTGGGTGCAGGACTCCGGGTTTGGGTATTAGTGGATTGGATTCCAAATCAGTCTAAACAAGAACTTGATCTGGGCTTGGATCTTCAACGTAGGTAGCAGGTAGATCTTCCCCGGACCTCCTTCAAACCAGTGGTCATGCGTACCTAGAAAACCCAAGTATGCAAAAAAAAAGTAATCGTGTTCTTTTCCGGCAAAAAAAGGTTATCTCAGCCAAGAAACGTCATTGTTTTGTAAACATGTATTTGCTGCGATCAAGCCAGTGGAGGGTATGCAATATTCATTTTTTCAGCTGCTTCCAATCCCAAATCCAGCCTCTTCTTACACCAAAAGGTAGTTTTTCACCTAAACTTAGGCTGTTTGAGTCGGTTCCGGCGAAAGTGCAAGGATACACCGTACCTTTCGATGGCCCTTAGGATCACCTGCTTGCTTGCAACCTGTCTACTGACACGGCTGATTCTCCCAATAATAAGAACTTTGTTGGCTGCACAATGCCATTTAACTGACACGCAAAATTTGGACAGTTTGACAATTTCCCTCATCTCAAAAGTGGTGTGAGAAAAATTTGGCGTTTGGGCCGAAGTCATACACAACCTGTAACGCAGTGCGGGCCCCTCTTAAGGAATCGAAACTACTACTACAGCGAGTTAGCTGTGTTTTGCTCCTGCAACTGCTGGAGAAGGGTGTCTTCCTCATCAGGGGGCTGCACAACATCATGTGTTGGGCAGGGCATGCCTTCAAAGCCCTCACCTCACACAGAGTGGCGCAGCTCGAAACCAAGGAGTTGATAGGAGCAGGCATGGCCACATCAAAGGAAACCTGCATGTACCAATGTACCAGAGGCCCCTGAAACAGCAAAAAATGCTACATTCAAAACATCCAAACCGTGTCCGGCAATTTCCGCAATTTTTCCGGTGATTTCCGTCATTTGGAGGGTAAATTCCGTAATTGTTTTTCGGCCACTCCTGCATGGAAGTTTAAATGTCCACTGAAAAAACGGAAATCTCAGCGATTGCAGATCGAGCTAGGTTCTGTTTTCCCTTGCCCCAAGCGTTTCTCTATTATTCAGCTTTGAATGATCACCGCAACTTATCCGAATCTTCCAGGCAAGATGGAATCAAGGCATTCCATGACAAGCTGTTGGGATAATTTGACGCATCTCAAACACAGCATGCTCTCAGTGAAATTGGCTTCTGTCCGGTCGATTTCCAGGGCCTTCGCTTCGAAGTTCTTCGAGGGCAAAGGCAGAGCAGCTTTTCAACGTCTTGAAGTTTTGGCCACTCTAACCATGACTATGAACTAAATAGATAGAGCTCGGCCAGATTGAAATGGTTTCGATGGCGATATGGATCTCCAAAGCAATCTTTGCAAAACGAGGAAGTTGCAATTTGTGCACAGGGGGCATCATGTATCATCTAAACGCCCTCTGGTGATTGCAACATCCTCTGTGTACAGAAAGTAAGTACTGGCGCCCTGTTCATTTGCCCACAACTCCAGACTGGAGATCTCAGACAGAATGGTCCCATGATGTCTCAAACAAACAGCAGTAAGTATGCAAAAGGTAAGTAACAAAAGGTAACCAAAATCCAAAAAGGTAATTGTTATACAAAAACATACATTTTCAACAAAAAACTGTTTTTTCTGAAACTACACTTTTTTTTGCATACTTTAGGTTTACTAGGTACGTGTCAACGATCCGCAAAGCCTGGAAGCTACAGTCCCCCAGTCCATGACCTCGTCAGGTAAGTGGAAGGACGCTGTCTGATCTTCCATGGCTGAGGTTCAGATTCAAAGTGCCACTTCAAAACCTAGTTGGAAAGAAAGCGATGTAGGTGGAAAGACCATTCCTCCTTGCTACGTGGAAAGAATCGCTTTCAACTATATAGTGTGTATATATATATATCAATTAATGGAGCCATTCGTATCTGTTCCAAATGTGATGATGGGACATGATCTAATATGGTTCAATATGGTTCAAAGATCATTCCTCCTCAAGAAAAAGAACAATCGGCTTCGGAATCACGGAATCACTCCTACTGAACCGCTGCTCCAATCCACCCATTTTGCAGGCGAGTGTTTCATCCCACAACTTTCATGCGCGAAAGAACATCCCCGGACCACACACCTTGTTGAAGGAAAACATCTTCACATCTTCCTACTTGCTGCACCCATGCCTGAAAAGCGCGGGCCGTTTCCCGCAACTCATTCTCATTCACTCTCGCTGCCAAGAGAGTGGCTGAGTTCTTTCGATCGATGCAAGGGTAATGCAAATCAACGTGGCATCTGCATGTCCTAGGGGGGAAAGGCCTCTTTGACCAATTCCGACTTGCAGAGCCAACTCCATGGCCGTTCGTCTCCTCTTTGAGGAGCTTTCTTCGAACGTTCCGATGCAGTGAGGATGTGAGACTGCACGTGGGCAGTTGGCTTAGGAGGACGGCCGTTAAAAGATGAGCATACTGTGCCCTGGCGAAGGAGATCACCAAAGGAAAGACTTAAAGGATCAGAACATGGACAAACTGGTGCGGTTTTGGTACCCCAGCGCCATGTACCTGGTGTCTTCCTGGCATGGGAGATGACGGAATCTGTAGAAGAAGGGAACCCACAACTTCTGGCTGCGAAAAAGCTGCTGTGAAAAATGGTTCATTAACAGTGTCCCTGAGGAATGAGGAGAGGTGCTCAGTGAGGATCTTTGGTTATGACCTTCTCATTGAAGCCTTTGTTGACCTGAAATTAGGAATGAGCCATCAAACTATAGAGACCTAAAGATGACTGCACAGGATTACGCATTTGGGCAGCCGAACGGTTTCGAACGCATAAATCAAGGGCGCCCTTAAAATTAGTAGGGCACACTGCCAATCACCTGTTATTTGAAGTTGCCCTGAAAATTTTCAGGCTTCAGGTGCCGCAGGTAGAAGAAAGGAATCCATCACCTGAGGAAGAATCCTCAGCAGCCTTTTTCAAGACCTATTCTTAAAGGCTAGATTTGGGACATCTAGGTCTTACCTGGTTAAACACAACAAAAAACATCTATCTATTTTTGTAGGGGTGTTTTTATTTGGCGTTTCTTGATCTTTCTTGAGGACTTGGCTTCGCTTTGCTTGATCAGGGTCATAGCGGCTAGCGACCAAACCCTCCGCGAACGCGTCCGAACATCCGCGAAGCCACCAGAGTTGAAAAAGAAAACCCGTTCTAAAATCATTATCCTAGGTTGAAATCACAGCAATTCCAAGCGGTGGCCATCATGTACCCAACATGCGCTCATGTATATGGTTGTATGTTGTGGTATGTTGTGTATGCCCTTTTAACAGCTGCGTTCTTACTTACAGAGTCCAATGGTTCCAAATGTGAAGCTGAAAGTAGCCATCCTCTTGCACACAGAAACAAGTTGCCAAGACTATACACCCTGGAAAGCACTTGGACAAGTGGTCAAAGTTGCAAAGGGGTCTAGCGCGGATCTAGCGCGGGTCTAGCGCGGATCTAGCGCGCTTCCCTGCCAGTGCATGAGGCCACCAAACGTCTGTGATCAAGAACTCGCTTTCTCGTCTCTCAAACAGTTACTCCCTTACAAACAGTTGCTGCCCTTTTCAGCGCGCGCTGCCTTTCAAACAGTTGCTGCTCTTGTGCCTGTGCGGGTGTGTGTGTGTGTATGTGCACCAATGAGTGACCATTACAATCAGCTCTTGTTTGTTAATCTTTTCTAAGTTACCTAAGTACTTGATCCTAGCGCCAAACCTAGCGCGAACCTAGCGCAACCCTGCGTTTTGCTAGCGCGACGAGGTAACATACCCACTTTAAACACCAGAATACCAAGCGGTGGCCAAGCGATTTCTGAACCTCTGGGTACATTCCTTACTTAATACATATTCCCGGTTTTTTTTTCGACTCAGACGTCCGGTCCGGCCACAAGGAGAGTGGAGGGCTGGTGAACCTGGTGAAGTGGAGGGCTGGTGAAGCAACTCACAATTTCCCCATGTGTTCTCAAGCGCGCCTCTCTGAGAGGCGTGACCTGGACCTGTGGCTCCTGACCTTGTGTCTGCATCTGTTCTGCGTGATTTCTGGTTGCAAGACTTTGAAGAAAACAAAGCAGGACCAACTAAAGCCACCAAAGCAGGATAAATTTCGGAGGTTTACTCTCATGGTTTTAGATGGTTTTAGTATGATTTAGAGTTCAGCCACCTGGTTCACACCGGATCTACCTGGTGTGTGCGGTGCGTGTGCGGCTTTCTTTTTGAGCTGCTGCAGCGAGCCGTCCAAAAAGCCAGAAAAAGGCAAAACACTCCCACATCAGCATGCATCGATAAACCTTTCGGTACGCCCCATGCCCACCAAAAGCTAATGTAGACTCTTGATTAATAAACACCCCATAGGAAGAGGCTTTTCAATCTAAATGGGGGATGTTATTAATCAAGAGTCTACATTAAAGGATGTGGCTATAAGAGCAAACATCAAACACACAAAAAAGGAACGGGTCGGCATGGCACAAACCCTAGTTCTGCGGATCATTGACCAAATTCGCAAAGTTGATCTCCATCATCTGCCTCATGAACCTGCGGCTCATAACGAGGCAACTAACGAGGCCATGTAGAGTGACCGTTGCATCAACATGCAGTTCCTTGAGAGAGGCTCAAGGAACAGGCATAGCGTCCTCCAGTCCTCCGTGTTCATTCCTTGACTCTGGAACCCGATCTCTGTCCCCTCAATCAATCATAGAGACCAGTCTTTAATAAACAGTCTTTACTAGTAACAAGAAGCTATTAGGTTGGAGGCCATTAGGGTGGAGGCCATCACTATTAGGTTGGAGGCCATCGCTTTGGAGGCCATGGCTATTAGGTTGGAGGCCATCGCTTTGCAGGCCATCGCTACTAGGTTGGAGGCCATCCCTATTAGGTTGGAGGCCATCGCTATTAGGTTGGAGGCCATTACTACTAGTAGCAAGAAGCTATTAATTAGGTTGGAAGCCACCTACCATGGCCATTCAATGCCCGGGCTCCGCCTTCGGCTTCCACCCATCAGTTTGATCAGCACGCCATGTCGGAAGTCACCCAGGCCGACCAGATCGATTTACTTTCGGTGTAACAAGGACACCCAGGCCACCCCAGGTCACCCAGTCACCCAGGCCTACCCAGGACACCCGCCAAATGGAGGAGCGACAATCACGCCTTAAGAAATCGGCGAAGTCCAAGGCCTGCTCCGGGGGCTCATGCACATCAGTCCTGGCGGCTTGGTCGAAACACAGCCCGTTCGAGAGAACACAGCGAGGTGGGAAAACAACCGGTCTCCAAGAGGTATACAGACCAGTGGTTGAATCTCGTCCACAGGTCGCCTCACAATTCCTAACTACGTGGCAAACATCAACAAAACCATTGCAAAGACCTCACAAGGAGCATGACTGCGAGGATCCAGGTATGCGTCGGATGATCTACACCCCGATGATCGGAACTTGAGACTTCACCGGTGCTTTCCATCGTGTTCCGCAGACCGATCCGGTGCTTACTTCGTGTTCCGAAAGAGCCGGGAGTTGGGTCCAAGGTGGGCCCAGTGGGACGGGTTGGACGCACAGGGAGCTTCTTGGCCACCAGTTGAAGTGACTGATGCATGTATCACGCGGAGTGCTCGGTGCTACAACTCCATGATGTTCCATGTGGAGCAACGCGTATATTTTCTATAGAACTTGAGCTGAATCCTTGCACTGTCTGATCTTGCACTTGCAGGTGTTGAAAGCCGCTGAAAGCGGTAGCTTGAGGATGCTTGGGGTCTTTAAAGTCTTCAAATCAAAACTTCCCCAGCCCAGCAGCCCGACCAGAAATCAGAACACCACCAGCCCAACGGCCTTCTCATTAACTGCTCGTTGAAAAGCTCCTCATGAGGCCGCCGTTGGCAAGAAATGTCTTGCCCGAGAGGGTATACTAACACGTCATCACACATCGGCCTCTTTGAAAAAGCAAGCATCCTCTCTGTATGAATACACAAGATCACTGTAAACATAGTCGTGCTGTAGCGATTTCCTCACATACATTGGCATCCTCCTACAAATGCTGGTGCAGGAATTTTCCAACACTAAACCAGCCATGGAAGACCTATACTAAGCGAACCATCACAACTGCTCCTCTGTTGGCAGGCGATTGGGGATCATTCTCTCATGTCTTACTCGCTTTGCGGAACAGGCAAGCCACCGAGATCAGGGTTGGCCACTGATCATCCCCACTATTTGGATCTGGCTGTGTAAAGAACAGGAAAAAACACGTCTATTTGGATAAAATCACAAACACCACCCCATATAAGCCAAATGAGGACTATTCATTAAAATAACTAGATACATATATATATATATAGAGAGAGAGAGATACAGCAGCATATGAGATGTGCTTTGTCGCCAGTGCTGTTGGTGCCCTTCAGTCTGGTGCACAGCCAGGTCCAACTCTGCCATCCCCAGACGTGCCTGGAGTTCCGTGGTGAGCGCATGCCCCAACGGTGTGGTGCCTGCGGTGCCGACCAACACCGTTGTTGGAGTCGCTTCGATGATCAGTTCTGAGTCGGATGAGTCATAACATGTCATAACACTCCTCCGGATTGAATTCATGACTTGGTGATGTGAATCCAGGTGGATTTGGGTGGATCTGTGGGAGAAGTTCTCTTCCGATCTTGGACAAGGTGACAAGGTCCTGCAGGTCTAAATATGCAAACTCAAAGTGCCCAAACGCTCCGAGAACCATGACCTGCCCCTGGACGCTCGCTACGCTCCTGGACCCTGGGGCCCTGGGGTCTCAAATTCCTAGGCTAGGGACCAGTCGGGCTGTTGGAGCGTTTGGGTGACAGCAAAAGATTCAGAATGCTGTGTTTTCCTGCAGGATGTGGATGTCGAACCCTGAAGACTTTGCTCAGACCACGAGCAAACTCCTCTGTCTGAATCTCATAAACCGGTCAACAGCACTCCAATCACCCGATCTTTTCTGCCAACTCCGTCCAAGCAGCTGTTGATCAGCTTCCATAGTCCGTCAAAGGTGATACCACTGGGGGCAGCAGCCTGAGCAAGCAGCGGTGTCGCACAGGTCGCACTGCGAGGAGTGCAACAATGTAACAAACTGCATGGGAGATCCAAATGGAACCAGCATGTCTTGCTGGGCATTGGAGTGGGAGAACAACTCCCCAAAACCTCTACAAGGGCATCTACATGGGTCATGCTTGTAAAAAGGGGCGGGGAATGGGGCTGTTGTCCTTACGCGGTCAAATCAGAACCAACGGAATATCATTGAACTCACACACAACTGGGTGTCCAAAAGCAGCTTCTGAAGAAAGAAACACCAGTGAACAAACCTGAAACATCGCGAAACGGAGTCCCTCAAAACCTTCTTCAGTATCTATACACCTGATTCATGTCATTTTCCCGCAAGTCAAACAAATGCATGCACACAAACACACACCTTCGAAGCCTGCACATGGGACGACGGCCAAAGCAGAGTCCTATACAGGACTGCCTGTAGACAGTCCTCGCGGATGGCGTCCGATTTCCCGGATGTGGCGCTTCTTTATGCTTTAGGTTGGAGGCCATCGCTAGTAGGTTGGAGGCCATCGCTAGTAGGCTGGAGGCCTTCGCTAGTAGGTTGGAGGCCTGGCGCTAGTCGGGAGGCCATCGCTAGTAGGTTGGAGGCCTTCGCTAGTAGGTTGGAGGCCATCGCTAGTAGGTTGGAGGTCTTCCAAAAGGTTGGAGGCCATCGCTATTAGGTTGGAGGCCATCGCTAGTAGGTTGGAGGCCATCGCTACAGGTTGGAGGCCATCGCTATTAGGTTGGAGGCCATCGCTAGTAGGTTGGAGGCCATCGCTATAGGTTGGAGGCCTTCGCTAGTAGGTTGGAGGCCATCGCTAGTAGGTTGGAGGCCATCGCTAGTCGGTTGGAGGCCATCGCTATTAGGCCGGAGGCCATCGCTAGTAGGTTGGAAGCCTTCGCTAGTAGGTTGGAGGCCATCGCTATTAGGTTGGAGGCCATCGCTAGTAGGTTGGAGGCCTTCGCTAGTAGGTTGGAGGCCATCGCTAGTAGGTTGGAGGCCATCGCTATTAGGTTGGAGGCCATCGCTACTAGTAGCAAGGACACAAAGTGCGAGAGTCGAATGACTCGATTTCGATCACTTCCTATGAGCTCCCAAACTCTCAGTCTCCTCAAATCTCACCAGTCTGGGTTCCACATATAAGATCATCCCCAAATAGATAGAAACGCACGGTTTCCAATAATTACATTTTGAGTGGGGATCTACTTTTCATTATGTTCTACCCATTTTGGGTTCTACAATGTATAAAAATATATAAGCCATGCGACTTCAAGGAAAAGCTCTCGTAGCTCTTGCACCTCCGGCCCGCTGAAGCCAGTCTCCTGCGCACATCTGTCACCGAGAGTGAGTTGTAAAAAGCAGGAGGGCGTGGTAGAAAAGCACTGCTGCCGCAATGTAGTCTTGATTCATCAAAACCTCCTGTGGTTGTAAAACCTATTTCGATATGGGGAGTTGAATCAAGAGTCTAGGAGACTACATTGCCCCAATCGGTTGCCATAGTGGTCTGAGATCAAAACCAAAAGCACTAGACATGGGTGGGACTCGCTGTAGAACTTCATGGCTGTGAGTTCTGGCGTCAGGTCCGGAATAGTGTCGCTAGGTCTATTGACATCAGCAGTGGAACATGGTAAATGGCGCAATACCCAAGAGGTGGTTTACATGGACCCCCATCTGGAAAAAAAAACAGTTTGGGGGATTGCGCCATCTAAATACTGTACTCTGAAACCACTGCATGTGCATTTGCAAAACATGTTTGTTCGGCTTGCGTAGAGCACGCAAATGTGGAGCTCCACTCTCTCTCTCTCTCTCATCCTCAGCGTTTCCATGAGCACATCACTCAAGTTCCAGAAAGGGTGGAATCAGAAGGGGCTACACCATTGTGCTTATCATGAATCCAAATTGGAAGGGACATTTACCAAACTGAATCATGTAGAGGATCACAATACTCTCCTACAATGTAATTCTGAAATCTCTTTTTTCGGAAGCTCAGGACCAGGAAGGTTGAATTCTTATGGCAAAAAGGTCTATGCAATTATGGTGGTTTTCAAAGTGTCCTCTGGATGCATTTTGGAGAAACCTAGAAGGTGAAGGAATGCTTGGAAAAATAGAGCAACTTCTCAGGAAGGTCATTCACTCATAGGGCAAATATGGAAAAACAACACATATACCCTAAGCATGTTACCAGGTAGAGTGGTCCAACCAAGTAACTAAGTAGTCGTGGTGTAGCAATGCCGCCAAACGTAACCGCGTGGCCCAGAGCCATTTCATGTTCCTCTGCAGCGGTGTTTCCCCCAAAAATCGTACGAAGCAGCCGGTTTGCTTCCGTCTTTGGCACGGTGCAACTTCACTTGACTACTAGTGGATTGAGAGGACTTAGATGGCACAAACCCCAGATTGTCGGTGGTTCAGTAGTGGACCCCCATGTGTCTAGGACATCTTGGGGTCTGTGCCATCGAAACCTCTGAAACCACTGTACATGAAAGTGCACATGAAGTGTAAGGGCTTCGCTTTTGGGGAAACTTGGGATGTCGCTGGGTTGGTTTTTTATTTTGTTAATATTACACTTGTATTTAATTTATATCATGCTTTCCAATCTGGAAGCTACAGTCATTATTTCTTTGCTGGGCTCATGGTAAGCGGATCCTGAGAGTTTGGCATCAGCCACCAATCCCCACGAGCGAACCACCACTAAGAAGTCACTCGAAGCCGCTAGCCGCTGACGCTTGCTATTCTTCTCTTCAGGTGGCCGTAACGGTGTCTCCTCCACGGCTGCCTGCTGCCGTCTTGCCACACTGATCTCCTGATGGATTTTGGGTGTGAATCCCCAGTCCAGGAGTGATCGTGAATGATCCCGTAATCTCTTCCGACGTCCACTCACTCTTCAAGTGCTGAACTTGAATTTGGCATTCCCCCTGTTGGAATATATACTATGTTTTTGAGCCAGTGTACTACTTGGTCTACTAGCCTTGTGTGGTACATATCTCCCCTCAAGTGCCCCACATAGTAGTAGAGCATTTGAGGGGCTGCCAAGTTGGTTTTAGCCCTCCAGTGACTCCAGTGTGCTTATATTGAGGATACTCATCAATTGACGTGTGACATGTGGGATGCTTTGGAACTGTCGCTGGATGGGGAACAATCTAAAACATATTAAAATTGTATGATTGTATGTGTCTTGTTTCATTGGCGAACGTAACTCCCAAATGATGTTTAAAAACGGGTTGGTGCGCATCAGTAACTTAATTTGTTATGGAAATCATCACCACGTCCGCCAACCCTGGGGGGGCCATATGTGGAGTTGGTCCTTAAGAAAACTGGGATCCTCAAGCGCAAAGGGCAAAGGGTTTTGGTTTCGATCTTCGTTCCCTTCTTCCCCAGAGCTTTAGCCTTGACGTCAGCTTCATGCTCGTTCGCTCCGCCTCTGGTCACGATGGTGGCAATTGCGTGCACGTCAACGTCCTCTAGTCACTACTGGTCCCGAACAAGTTCCACGAACTTCGGAGTTTCGGGTGCGGGCTTCGCTCGTGGATGTCTCGCCGTGAAACCGCCGTGAAACCGCCGGGATGTGCAGGTTCCGATGTCCGACCGTCGTACTTCGCTCGCAGGGAGGACCATGTCATATAGAAAAAACGATCCATCAAAGACGGACCATCAGCGATGACAAGATTGAGAAGCAGTGGTTTTGTGGAGGGTCTGCTCACGTCGGAATCCCTTCATGGAGGCCTTGATTGACTTGTGCTCATATTTTTAACTATATATATATATGCCTCATTATATATGCCTCAATTGATCCTCAATCTACTTCATCAAGCCAGGCTTGTCACCCACCGTGCAGGAAGAGTAGGGATCGACCCGCAGCTACTCCCAATTCCCAGATCCCAGGGTGAAGGGACGAAAGAAACAGCGCTCCTTGGCGGAGCGACAAAGCTGCAGGAAGGTCAAATACTCCTTGAAACCTGGAGGATTGGTGGAGAAAGCTGAAGGATTCCACATTCAAGTGATCTTCAGAGGGACAACATCATTGCCAAAATAGCAACGTTCGTATACCAACCAGCATTACCCAGGAAGGCAAAAACACATATCACTAATCCTGCCCAAACATGAGTCTAGCAGCCATAACAAAAGCCCCTCAAATCAAGCACTACTAAAACATCCGAACAGCTACGTGCGCTCAGCTCCTCAGAAGCTGCATTGAGTTCGAACAAAACGTTGACGGATGCTTGTCAACTTCCGGGGACCCTGAAAAGTTTGACAGTGATTTGGCCATTGTCAGCTCACAAGCCACTCAAACAGGAACATGTGACAATGGCATGCAATCTTGAACATTTTGGCGACCCTCCAAAGGTTGTTGAACACACAGAAATCTTGTCAGGGATTAGCGCTTTCTTTTGCAACCCTAGAATTATATAGAATCATGGAATTAGCATCTTTTCAAAAAGCGAAAGCGCTTTCCACAGAACATACACAGAACTCATCACTCAGTGACAACGATTACACTCGTCTAGTCTCCAAATGTCTCCAACCTGAGGTCGAGTGTAATTTGTCACCTCCCTCAGTTGACGAAGCAAAATGGATCTCCTCCATGGTCGAGTGTAATCTCTTCAATCATCTTCAATCCAATTGGGTGTACAATAGAGGTCCCCAAGCAGCCTATTATGGATTTGTGTGTGTCTCTCTCTCTCTCTATCTCTCCATCGCCCTCTCCAAGAGTTTGGCCATGTGGCTAAGGTGAGCCTAAGATTTTAAAAATATTTCATTGGAAAAAGCATGGTTGATTGAGGCTGTCCTCGCCAAGCCCCACATGGTGAGCCATTTTGAATCATTTTGGCAGCTGGACCGATGGGCTGCGGGTCTCTGCAACGGTCTGGGCTCTGCAGAGAAGGGAGCAGAAACCCATCGGTGGATTCAACACACCTCGAAAGTATGAGTCATTGAGAAATGTATCTGTATGATCCCTAGGCCTCCAACCACCTACTGAGGTGGTGGTTGGGGTGGGTTTTTGGGATCTAACCACCTTCTGAGGATATGGTTGGAGCCCCAAAAAATCTTGGGCTATCTCAAGCAAAGAGGTCAGAAATGGTTGGAGTATTGAATATGTCAGAACTTAGAGACTTAAAACATCAACCGGCATCTGGAACAACGACCAACAAGCTCAGGATACCTTAGAACATCAACCAACATCTGGAAACACCTTGAGCCTTCATTTTGCCTCGAGCCTTCGTTTTGATGGACGTCCTCTGACCCGGCGGTTGCTTCGTTTTGCCCCGCCTAAACGTCCCGTGCTGTCAACCTTGACCTGCCGCAGGATGGAGCGCAATTCCGGCCTCCGCAGGCTGGTTGAAGTCGGTGGGTCCAATTCAACGGAGTCGAATTACGCGAACGGGCCACGGCCACGGTTCTCCAACCACACCCATAGACGGTTGTTGAGTACACTTCGAAAAGAATAAGTTGATTACAACTGTATCTGCTGGAGACTGGAGACCCTGTTTGTTGTGGCTAGACCACTACTTCCATATGTTACAGTCCATTAGGCCATCACGGTATCATATGGCAACAAAAAACGGAAAGCAACATGAACATCTTTTCCCACCACCCAGTCATTCCAGCATGAACTTGCACATGTCAAACACATGTTCTTGGTTCAGAATGTCATGTGATACGGATGTCCTGAAGATGGCCAGCTTGCTTGTGCAACTAGCCTGGGCAGCCTGGGCCACCACGAATGGTATCCCAGTTTCATGGCTTTTTTCGGGCTCGCTCCAGGGCGGATCGTCAGGTGTCAGGTCTGCATCTCCTCCAAAGACCAGCTCAGGAACATGCTAAAAACACCACGAAAAACATTGATACCTCATTGTGGGGCTCAAAGGACTACGTTCATGATCCCGACTTCATGGGGCCACCTGGCCGCCAGAGGCAGAGGGCCGCCTTCTTCAGCCGGTGTGAGAGCAGAACATTGAGGATATACAACAACCTTTTCCATAATGTAGACTCTTGAATCAACTTGAGGACCATAACTCCCCATGTTAAGAGCATGAACCCAATTCAATTGGGAGGGTTGATGGTCCTCAAGAGTCTACATGACTTCTCCCAAGACCCAGGAGGTCCAGCTCGCCCGCTCCCCGGCTCCCCGCCTGAAGAGGGGATCCCGCGACATGTCAGGGAGCACGTCCTCCAGGAGCCGGATGAGGTCCTCGAGAGGGCGGCCGCTGGAGTGGTGGTCAGAGCATGCGGAGAACGGATCCGTTTGGTTCGCTTGGGGGGCATCCCCGCTATCAATCAACCAACCAATAGTAAAAGGCTATCCATGGCCGGCACCACAAATTGAATGAACTCCCGAACTCAGTGAAGCCCAAAACCGTCCAACCGCTGCCTAGTGGCCAAGTGCTAGCGCATGTCTTAACTGCTCTTTTTTGGTGAATACACGCCAGTGGCATCCCAAAGGCTAGCAACAAAGAAGTCGCATGCAAGTGGCCTCGCACAAGTTGGCAGCAAACATCCCACGAACGTGTTTCAATACATTCCTTCCTACCGGTGGTTCAACAGTGGCCTTCCTACTTTACATAGCTGCGTACGGCTTCTGTTCAACTTCAGGTCCCAACATGAAGGCTTGTGACAGGAAGGTGATCACCAGTTTCAGTTTGCGTGGGCAAAAGAAACATAATGACCCTCATCCCCATTCATCCCCGATTGCTCAGTCCTTATTGGCCACACAGCCATCCCGACTGGAAGCATAGGTCTCGTACTCTGCCCTCCCCAGCAGAAGGGCAACCACCCCTGGTGAATTCCAGCAACACTGGGTCCACTCCTAGCATATGGCAACTGCAGTACAGTGGTTTCAGAGTAGATAGATGGTTTAATAATATATATGGAGCCCCCATCTAAAAGAGATCTTTGGGTTGGTGCCGTATCTTCCACCTTGGTGAACGGGGCGGTATCCCACCATGATTCAGGCTCGGACATAAAACTCGGCTCACGTCGACATAAGGGATTGGCCTTTCAGATTCAAGGAAGCATGCTAAGCATGTCCGCTTACAAAGCATTAAAGCAACGAATTCGTAAAGGCCTTGTGCCTTACCTCTGGGCTCCTGAAGCCATTACTTTGCTCATGTCTGACATGGGCGATCTTTTGCAGACAAATGCTCTTGTGTGATGTCTTTGCTCCATGCCTCTTCAAGTGTACCCGAGGCAAGCAAGAAGAGAGTTTTGGCTCCATGATAAATAATTTGAGACACTAAACAACATGCCAACAAACTCCATATAGCTGTTAATAGATCGTTTACTACGCTGACGGCAACATAGTTATCATATATTATATTATAATATCATGGTTTGCTAATTACTTCAACCTTCACGGTCTCCGATGGTCTTTCCAATTTGGATGGTTTTTGTGCGACCTCCCCGAACGCAGGAACATACACATGCTCCAGGCCGTCCCGCGCGTATTTCGCGGTGGATTTCTGGCCTGAGCACCTTGAGCTGCTGCGCACTCCAGCCACCGTTCTTACGGCACTCCATTCGCTGTGCTTTGATCAACTTGTAGCACACCGTCAGGAACTGATGCTCCTCAGGCCGGCCACGGCTGCGAGACCACGCTCCGAGACGACGCTGAGGCCGCGTTGGCACGGTGGAACCCCTGGCAATGCAGGCCATCCGAAACACACTTTGCGTTCGGGGAACTTGTTGGGATGTCCTTCCTTTGCATGTCCCTACGCTTGGAGCGTTCGTTGGCCCGGTCTTGGTCTGGGTGGGCAACTTGGCTCATCTTCTGCGCTTGCACGGCGCGTCTTCTTTGGTGTGCCCAAGCAATTTGGACAGCTGCAAGCTAGGAAAAATACCCCTGCATCAACGACAAAGGCAGCCAGCATCCAAGCACCGGCCACAGGCATTGTTCAAGAAAGATCGTTTATACCCATGAAAAAGTCATCCCCGAAGTGGCAAAGGTGAACCTTTCTCTCCATGTTGCATAGCAAACTGTTCGGATGGCGTATAAAGAGCGCTTTGATTACCTCACGAGTTACAGTACCATGGACCGTTTTCCATGCATTGGACGCGGTAACCCATTATATGTGTGGCGATCTTCATCACTCAGTCCGCTTCTCTGGGGTGCACCAAAGAAGAAGGTCCTACATGGTCCTACAACCAAGTGATCGAGTTACGTCGCCACGGCCCACATCCGCGATTCCTGTCCCTTTGGGCTTGTTCCACCGCGATAGGCTTGCATGACGACCAAGGCTTCAAGGCGTAACATCGAAAGCGAACAAAAAAAGGACAGCCATCAAAACCTGTAAAATCAAGTGTTGCTTTCCACTGGGGGACTTACCAGTCTCGGAAATCAGTCAGTGTGAAAACCTCCACAAGGCAAAGGTGTGTGTATGTGTGTATATATACATATATACATATATTATGGCACGGCCCTCGACCCTGATTCTTGGTTCTGCAACTTGCACATTTAACGATACATAGCACCTCCAACTACTTTAAATCAATGGCCACTACAGCAAACGGATGTGCAAATGGTCTTACCAAGCTTGTCTATCTCCACTTCTGTGTGCATGTAAGATGTGGAATCCAGCTTAAATGTCAAAAAGCATAATCCCACACCCACCACAGGCAACTGTACGCAAGTAACTCTCCCCTCTCTTCCTCAGCATGTCTCTAGATCCACCACCCGGATAAACAATCCCTGCGCAAACCGCGACTTGGCTAACATGCTTTGGATTTGTCTGAGCGAAATCTCCTCTCACACCCACATTCGATCTGTTTGGGGGCGCGCTGAAAACCCTCTAAAACCACCTCCCCAACCTGAAACCTTCCAAAAAAACCTCCCAAAATCCTCACGCCCCAACGCCCGCAGTTGCGCTGGGCACCCTGGCCGTGACGTGGACCGTGTCAAAGGTCTCCAAAGGCACTGTGAAGTTGAGCAACTCCAGAAGCCGCACCTGAAAGAGTGGGTGAAGCAAGTCCCTGACACTCCACGGGAAAGTTCCATATTTACCAACTTAGTGGATTGAGAGTAGATGGCACAGACCCAAAGAGGTGGTTTGTATGAACCCCCATGTAAAGGACATCTTGAGATCTGTGTCATCTATTCTGAAACCCCTGTAGTTGGGGTGGTTTAAGGGTTCAATGGGCATATATAGTTCATTGGAGTGTCTGAGTGCTGGACTTGCTTCATCTTGCTTCCCATCCGTCTCATGCCCTAGACTCGATGGATGAGAAAAGCTGCAAGCCAGCACCATCTGGAACCCCAGAATTGGACGAATGACTCGAATCACCAGTAGCTTTTAAGGCCAGTTCAGCCGGTGTAGCCACAGTGTGGAGCTCATGTAGCGATCGTGTGGACTCTTGATGAATCAACCCCCCCTGGTTTTTGGATTGTAAAAAAACATCTTCATAGAGGGAAGGGTTTTCATATATCATCAGTCTACATTGAATCCACCCACAGGTCTCTTTTCTCCGGTCGAGTGAGGGTTCTATTCTCCTCGGGTGATGTAGTTTCCACATGGGAATGTGATGGAATTTTCTGAGCCATCCTATTGTTGAACGTCCCCCATACGAGAAGTGGTCTTCCGGCCTAGGGCCTAGGTAGTTCCCCCAAAGAATTCACCCTGCATCGGTCGCTGGGTCATTCCCTCCTTTGCATGCTGTTTGGCCCGCAAACCTCAGCGTGTTCGGGCTCCTAGCCCCAAAACCTCTACGTAGACTCTACTCTACCGTCCAAGCGGCGCAGTTCTCTCGCGTGAGGGTCCTGGGAGATGCGAGCGAAGGGCGGGGCCGGGCGGGGCCCTTCCGGGAGGATATTTTTTGGGGGGGACCAACTTGCTGAGATTGCTTGAGGTTGCTGAGATTTTGGGCTGAAGGTGGGCGAACCGAAGGGGGCACGAGCGTGCTCGGTGCATCTTCATCGAAACCAGACTCAAATTCAGCCAGTGTCGATTCAGCATTAACGCTGCCAGCATCGGCCCAACTATTCAACAATCAGCCACCTTCAGTTGCTGAAAGTTGCTGTTCGGCGGTTGGCCAGCCAATAGGTAGGTGGGTGCCCAGGGCCCAGAGCCTATGTCATGATATAAACTAAAGTATAAGCAACTATTAGTCCAAAATTCGACGCCGAGCCGTAGTCCATCTTCTTGGAACATGTCACAAATCCCGTCCCCGCGTTCCTGCGAGCAGTGCTATTTGAATCGACGACTGGGGTAAAAGTTACCTTGATTGAAGTTGGTGGGTTGCTTCCTGGAATTGGCTGAACTTCTGTGTGATGTGCTTACACCCAGAGTCGATAGAACTTGATAGAACATGGGCCTCTCTGATAGGACCACACTTGTCTAACACATCTCCTCTCTCAACCATCCGGAGAAAAACAAAACAAGAACCTCTTGGCAAACTATATCGTTCATGTATCAGCAAATATGATCAAACTATATATTATACCTGGTGATCAACTCATCCAAGTCATTCAAATCCAAATCGTCCAGGCCATGCCGCCCAGGCGCCCTGGAGGCCCTCCTTTGCTAAAGCCCTGCCGCACGTAGGCGTCAAAGACATCTCGGAAGTGCTCCATGTCTTGGGCTTGAAGCATCCGCACCAGCTTCCGAAGCCTCCGCCCCCAACGGGGTCGGTGTGGGTTGCGCCGCGCGGGGTGGTGTGGCGAAAGACCTACAGCTCTAGGTAAACCCAAAGACATGCGCGCACGCCCAGGTTTCTGCCATTCCTTCGTGCAGGTCTCAACTCCAAGAATCAAGCCAGGCTGATCCCCACCTTGATCATCCATTTTCGTCAAAAGGCCAGCGCACTGGGCTGTAGCAACTTTACAGGGTCGACTGCACCTGGAGTCCCAGTACGTACCTGAGAAAATGGGTACAAGGTCCTGCTGTGCTTGGATAAAGTCCTGTCATGTCCCGAAGAAAAAACAAACTGAACTGAAGAGTCCAGGCCCTAGGCACCTGTACTTGGATGCTCACATCGAGCTCATTCTCCTGTGGGGGTGCATCACCCGGGGCGGACACTGGCCAAGGCACTCCGCGAGGTTCAAGGCACCTGACTCGTCCACATCCACCTGGCGATTGTCCAGCGGGAGATAGAGATGAAGCGTGGCGAAGAAGATCGGAACCTTTAAAACATTGATTCCAACGCCCCAAACATGCTTAAAAAAAAAAAAGTTTTTTGATTTTATGAAACTCGTGGCGGCAGCTGTGGCACATTTGGTGCCACATGTATGAACTCCAAAGGAATTACAGTAAGTGAGTGGTCAGTCATATAGGGTTAGTTATTTCACTGTGCCTGACAAACAACTTGCCAACCGAGGGAAAACGAGAGTCCTCAAAAGTATACTGTAAACACAAAATACTCTCATCATCCTTCCAACACAAACCTTCTTTTATCTTCTTTTTGTCAATTCGATTCTTTGACCATGGGAGGGAACCTTGCCCAGTCCCCCCCCAGTGACGGTCGGTGTCTGTCCCGGCCTTGAGCAACCAACTTTGCACCTCGGTGTACCTGACCCGTGCCCATTCGGCCAGCACGTGGGATGGATGGCTGGAACCAACCACCAAGGTCCATGGGCGACACAGGGGGGTGAGGGTGCAGGTGAATGACGCATGGTTTCAATAATTACGATGCATACTCAGACTCCCTCTCATTGGCTTTGCTTAGCAAGATACTTCTTGGCTGCTTGGGTCATGGCCTCCGACGTGGGCAACCACGCATCCAAGGAGTCTTGCGAGTCGGGGTACGGCTTCGCTATACCTGTCTACCTTCGTCATCGGGTCCGTGCGAAGGTATCGCATCCAACTTACTGAGACTCATTGATGAGTATATAACCACATATTAACATTCACCCCCCCCCACTGAAGAACTTCTTCGTCTGGGGGTGGTATTCATCAAGAGTCTGCATTGCGGACCTGGTTGATGAAATGAATGACAAACCCAAGGCCCGCACTTGCTGCGTGCTCCATCTTCCTTGCTTCTCTGCCAGGGCTGTGTTGTGAACTGGTCCAGTTCACCAAAACCTTGATTTCAAGGTGCACGTCGGCAACGAACTCCCACGTCCATCACGTCCGTCACGTCCGTCACGTCACTTCATGTCGCATTCCCAGAATTTGACTGGGTTGCCTTGGCAAAACTTCCCGCGTCCGACCAGGCATGGTCCCAAGAACTTCAAGCCACTCGGTAATTAGTTTGTTAATGATTTCCATTGATTTCCTGTACGCAGCAGGTGAACCCTTCTCACTTCAATCATCTTCAAACCCTCTTGCTGGCGTAGGCCATTCCATTGATGATTGACCACTCTTGGATATATATTGGCTCTCCACTGCGAGAAAGTCTTACAGCGCCTTTTGCTCACGAAATGTTGCGACCACCTGCCGTCTTTCTCAAGTTGGTAGATACCGGGCGACTTCTCCACAAAGTTGCAAGTGGCCTCACCGAACCTCATGTGTTACACCGCAAATCATCGCTGCGGCCCTGCCAAGCTTTGTCTAATGATGCTAATTAGCATCTTTGGGCCATATTTGCTTATCATCACGTCCATGGTTAGACTTTCACCGCCATAATCCTTTTAACGAACGGTTTTCACAGCCATGGCCCATGGGTTTGATGTCATATGCCTTTGCTCTTAGTTTTCCCAAGCCTTGATTCCTGGCACACTTTGCCCTCTTGTCAATGCATCAACTTCAAACAGCAAAACACTACGCACTCTATATAAAGTTGGCACAATCAAAGATACACAGGTCCAAGCCCTTCCCCTTCGCATCTTTCTCTATCACATCACATAAAGTTAGCCCTGTGCCCATGGCATCATGGTAGCGCTGCAAAGTTCTCATCAGGATCATCATCGGGGAAATGGACCGGGACAACCTTGCACATCTTCCAATGAAATCTTGGTCAGGAGCACATTCGTGGACGCATGGGTTTTGAACCCATGGAAATACAGCATCAGAAATGCCGCATTGTGGACGGCATTCAAGTTTGCGGTATTGCGGCAAGGGAAAATATGCAACGCCGTCTCGATGTGCAAAAGACTGCCACACGTACAGCTAACAGAAATTGAGTAGAGACAATCATGCAGTTCCTTCCCTATCTTGCTCGCCAACAGGACATCAATCACTCTTATTATAGATTCCCCGGAAACATGGTTCACCTGATGCGTGCCAAAACCTCAGAATAGGATGGGAGGAAAATTGCACTGGTGGAGCAAGTCATCATATGAATAATTATGAATATATGCAAATAAAGGCACAACTGTTTGGGAATGGAGTGCATGCACAAAAGCACAAACATAAACACACGATATACAGCCTCTGCATCAGAGGCTCTGATGAACAGATTTTGAGGGCCTCATCACCTCATGTCGGAATCTTTCTCTACAACCTTCTTCACAGAGTTGGTCACTCTCTCTCTCTCTCTGTTTCCCTGACCCGTAGCTGTGTGGGTCCCCCTTTCCGGCACGAAGCGATGCCCGGATGCCCCGCGGCACCCCACGGAGAAGCCCAGCATTCGCAGCGCCAGCGGGGATTCCAAGTTGTCCAGCTCGCCCGACTCGTCCTCGCCGGGGAGTCCACTCCAAGGGTGGAAGTTGGCCCGGCAGCGAAAAGACACTGGTTGGTTGATGTTCCTTGGAAGGAATTGTCATCTTTAAGGATTTGGAGCCACAATCTGCTGAAATCGTGATGTTCCTGAATGGTGCATACGGTATGGGAGGAGGGGGGCTTCCATACAGACTTGGAGCCATGGGTGTTGCTTGAGGGGAATGATGGAAAAAACTGTGTGGACATAGGTTTTAGATTGTTTTAGCATGTTTTGGCCAATGAGTCAGAGTGTTGTGTGCTGGGCAGTTTTCTCCGAAGAAAACTTCAGCAACAAATGGTTGAATCGATCCCAGCCAGGTTTTGGATCATTTGTTCATTCTCGATGGTGGCTCAACAAACACAAACATCAAACCACACCCACCTTTTCCACCCCTCATTGTCTGACCGCAACCCCAAAACAATTACGAAACGCGCCCGCCTCGTCGTGGCGCCGGAAGGTCTCCGTGATCTCCTTAGGATGTGAAATATCGCTGACAACAAGTCCACCAGCAAAAAACATGCCCCCGTTCACCTGATTCATCCAATGTCCGTCATGCAGTCATGGCAGTCATCGAAAGCTCGTGAGATCTGGGATTCAAAGCTGTTTGCCTGCTTGGTAGGAACCGCTCAGAGGGAACGTCAAAAATCATTCCGCCCATGTGCAGGTGAAAACCATCGAACACCAAGTCTCTTGAAGTTCCTGGCGGCCGAAGCCCTCCCTGCGGCGATACCTTACGTCTTCATGGGACCACGGACCAACGAAAAGTACACAGGGACCTAGATTCTCAGTACGTACCTTAGAAAAACGTCATGTCTCAGGTACTTGTGACGTCTGCAATTATCACCTCACTGGGGAGACTACCTAGAGTCTCAAAATATCTTTGAACACTGGGTGCCAGTGTATATATATATAATATATACACCTGTTTTTTGTTCGGGTCATGTCCCATTTTTCAAGCTAATTAAAGTTGGGTCCAAGTAGAAAGGGATATGAAAGGAGATGGTTTGGGGGATGCAGTTTTAATGAACAGCGATCAAAACGTATTATTGTTCAACTAAAAGCGGGCGTTATCAGTTTTGATTTGCTTTACGGAGTTGAGTTCGCCACATACTGATAATTAATCAGATTTACTGATTTACAGTAACAGTAAAAATACATATAAAGAGAGAGAGAGAGAGACAAACATTGCTGCAGGACAAATACACCGGTGCGGTTTGCGAGAACCACTCCACCAACATGTTGATCTCGTTCTGGGGGTGCGCGACTTGCAGGCACTGCCCACACCAACACCAGTTTCTTCCAATATTAACTCCCAAACGCTCTATGTATGGTATGTTTATTTGCCTACATTGGGGCGGTTTGAGGTGTCAATGTTTATCAATGCAGGTAGCTATTCCATACATGGAGCAACGGGGAGTGAATCAAGTCCATGAAGGTCCATGATGGATGCCCCATGCGTTTAAGAGGCAACCCTTCCGCCAGCGCATGCTGGATCTAATTTTCATCGGGTGACGTGCCCAGGAAAATTCTGAATTCTGAGGGTTCAGAATTAATCTCAGCTTCTGTCGTTTGATTGTTTACTTTGCATCTGCACGGTCCTGATACAGCAAAACTTGCTTAGCGCAAAGAAAACATGTCCATCGATTTGGTGCTTACAAACTAAATCTAAGAGTTACAACACCGAACTTTGGAACGAATGTGAACATTGGAGTGAATGTGCAACATTGTTATTGACGGGGTGGGCTATCAAATTTTAACGGTGCAAAAATAAAAATAAAAATTTGTTCAAACATCAAAAGAATTAATTCGTCGTCGTCGTAGTAGTAGTAGTAGTAGATGGAGTAGCAGTAGCAGAGTAGCAGTGGCAGTAAAGTAGTATAGTAAGTGTAGTGGTCGTAGTAGTGGTCGTAGTACTGCCAGTAGTAGTAAGTAGTAGTAAGTAGTAAGTAGTAAGTAGTAAGTAGTAAGTAGTAGTAGTAGTAGTAGTAGTAGTAGTAGTAGTAGGTAGTAGTAGTAGTAGTAGTAGTAGTAGTAGTAGTAGTAGTAGTAGTACTAGTAGGTAGTAGTAGGTAGTAGTAGGTAGTAGTAGTAGTAGTAGTAGCAGTAGTAGCAGTAGTAGTAGCAGTAGGAGTAGTAGTAGTCGTCGTGGTAGTAGTAGTAGTATCAGTAGTAGTAGCAGTTAGTAGTTAGTAGTTAGTAGTTAGTAGTAGGTAGTAGTAGTAGTAGCAGTAGTAGTAGTAGAAGAAGAGCAGTAGCAGAGTAGCAGTAGCAGTAGCAGTGGCAGTAAAGTAGTATAGTAATTGTAGTGGTCGTAGTAGTGCCAGTAGTAGTAAGTAGTAGTAGGTAGGTAGGTAGGTAGGTAGGTAGGTATAGGCAGGCAGGCAGGCAGGGAGTTAGTTAGTTAGTTAGTTAGTTATATAGTTAGTTAGTTAGTAGTAGCAGCAGTAGCAGTAGCAGTAGCAGTAGCAGTAGCAGTAGCAGTAGCAGTAGCAGTAGTAGTAGTAGTTAGTAGTAGTAGTAGTAGTAGTAGTAGTAGTAGTAGTAGTAGTAGTAGGTAGTAGTAGTAGCAGTAGTAGTAGTAGTAGTAGAAGTAGTAGTAGTACTAGCAGTAGTAGTAGTAGTAATAGTAGTAGTAGTAGTAGGTGGTACCTTATGGTCCGTTTCTACTTATCCTACTTATGGCTACTTATGTGTACTTAACCTACTTACAGCCGACTTATTTCTACTTATTTGTTAATTTAAAAACCTTATTAAAATAAGTCGGTTATAAGTAGAGATCAGTTGAAGTCAGTAGAAATAAGTAGAGCACATGTGTTTGAAAGGTTTTTGTGTTTTTTGTTGTTTCATTGAAAACGACAGCTTCAAAGAGGTTGGCCTTGAACAGAAACAGTTGTGTTTTTTGTGTTTGTGGTGTGACAGAGACTAGTTTTGGGTTTGTTTTCACTACTTTTCAACATTGCTTTGACATGAGCGGGCACACCGCTGAGGCAAACATGGGAACAAGAACCAGTAGCCACACCACTTAGATGGAGATCTTTTTGCTTTTTTCCTCCTGTGGGCTGAAACCAAACCAGGTTCCATCGAAATCTTGTCCAGGATGTCCAGAAATCCTGGAAAGTACCTTTATTGAATTCGGCTGTAAGGACGAGATGGACTAATGAAATCTGGCAACCCATGGCTCTGCAAGGCATTGGGTGTCTGGATTGAAACCATTCTTTTTTCAAGCCTCTCCTCCGACCACGAGGATTTATGTAGCAAAGCTGAGCAGCCAAGTTGCGCAACTCAATTGTCTTGCGGATGAGAATCTGGGACACTGTAAGCATTCAAAAATTTGCAAGCACAAAGGGCAGTGTGAACAGGTTTGTGTGTGCGGGTGTATATTTCCAGCGGTCGCACCACAAGGCTACAGATTGCACGTAGCTGTGAAACAGTTGCACCGATGGCTAGAGGTTTATATAGAGTGGTTATCTATCCTTTTTTTGCGGTCACACTGCTACAGGAGGCCACTGAATGCTAATCGCTACGAAGCGGTCACACCGCTAGATATATATATTTAGATTTCAACAAATATATAAATCATGAATTTTGGCATCTATGCTGGAAAATCTCTATAAACCGGTCACACCGTTATATATATATATATATTTATACACATTGTATATACAGGAAAGAGCTGAGCAAGACGCTTGCGGAAGCCTTCCGACAATTTCCCCCGACGTCAATGCAAGCAGATCACCAGCAGGTTGTCCACGGTGTACCGATACCAAGTCGGAACTACTAGGGCATCACTCGCGGAGACCTGCCACGTAGTGGACCTTGTGGCGCCGCCACCTGTAGTGGACCTTGCGGCGTTGCCGCCTGTAGTGGCCCTTGTCGCGCTGCCTTTGCTGTCACCTGCAGCAACCGAGGCGCTGTCAACTTCCACCTCTATAGGCCCAGCATCTGCAGGTTGAGCATCATCTTGTGTTCCTGCAAGCGTTTCTGTAGAAATCTATTTAGGCCCAGGCTACGTGAAACCTTGTACCCTTGTAGACTAGCGAACACACCGCTGCACTACGAGTTTTGAGCGGTCAAACTGCTTTGAAACCTTGCGACTGTCCTTTTCCACGTGGGCTGTGGGGGCCTCCGCTTTCTACGCGGCTCCTTCGGAGAGCTCTCCACAGCCGCCATGAGCAGGTCCCATGGCTCCGGCTCTATGAAGCGATCCATCGCAGTTCTAAATACAACACATTGGTGTATAGAGGTTGGCTTCCATGGTTAGCGTGTCAGTCGCACTGTGAGTTACGTTTATCATGCACTGTATACAGTTTGACGGTTGACCATGATTACAGTGTGACCGATCGACGCATGTGTTCCAGAAATTGACGCATGTGTTCCAGCGCGATTGGAGGAAGGTAAGCGGCGTTTTGAACATACGTTGACACGCCCGAACAAACCAAAATAGAAGCGGCCACACCGCTGGGACAATCGAAACTATAGAACTGTTCAAAGCGTACACACCGCTGGGAAGTCGGTTTTAAGAGACAACCGAAGCAAAAAATCCCAAGTTGTATTTGACGTTTGAATAAAACATTGAAATTCTTATTTTTTTTACTGGCCCTTGCTACACACTAAGTTGTTTTTGTGGTACAAAAACCTGTGAAAAAAACCCAATGCTTGGAAAACAAGAGAAAGCCGAAAGTAGATTAAGTAACGAAAAGTAACTTAACCCACTTACTATGTTTTATCTTAAACCTACTTATTTCTACCTACTAAGTAGCAATAACTAGCTACAAGTAGCTGTAAGTAGCATAAGTACTTCCAGCTAGTTAACCTACTTACACCTACTTAAACCTACTTACCTATTAAAAACCATGCTAAAACCTACTTAAAACTAGTCATAACTAGGATAAGTGAAACGGACCATAATGTAGAAGTACCACTACTACTACTACCACCACCACCAGCACTACTACTACTACTACTACTACTACTACTACTACTACTACTAC